TTTAAGCATAATGAATACATCAGTGTACCTGTACATGTTTAAGCATAATGAATACATCAGTATACGTGTACATGTTTAAGCATAAAAAATACATCAGGATACCTGTACATGTTTAAACGTAATGAAAAAATCAGTGTACCTGCATATGTTTTGGTCAAATGTGAGCACCGTAATAATCATTTTGATTACTAATGAGCGTTTATTGGAGCTGAAAAATAGAATTCGAGTCCTTCAAAAGCGTCACGAGTAAAGAAGAGACCACGGTTTCAGTGGAACCTTTTTAATGTTACGTTCTTTATTCCGACGGTAGTGCTGGATGATAAGTGAGAAGATGAGATTATTCTAAGTATATAAAGTCTAGCATATTTCCATTTTTCAATCATTTACCGTTTATCATATAAACAGACGAAGAAGTGTGCGCGTGACTGAAAGACATCTTCCCCTGTCGTCGAGAGTAATCAACCTCGTTAACCTGGAGCAGATAAATTTTACATTGTTATGTGTTGAAAGTCTTTAGTTAGTTTACTTAAACGTCAGTTTGTTTGTTTGTAATTAAGCACAACGCTACACAATGGGCTATCTGTGCTCTGCCCACCACGAGTATCGAAACCCGGATTCTAGCGTTGTAAGTCCGCAGACATACCGCAGTGCCACTGGAGGGCCTTAAACGTCAGGTAACTTTTCACTGCCGTTAAGTTTTTAGTTAGTTTACTAAAATGTCAGGTAACTTTTCACTGCCGTTGTGTTTTTAGTTAGTGTACTTAAACGTCAGGTAACTTTTCACTGCCATTGTGTTTTAGTTAGTTTATTTAAACGTAAGGTAACATTTCACTGCCGTTATGTTTTTAGATAGTTTACTAAAACGTCAGGTAACTTTTCACTGCCGTTGTGTTTTAAGTTAGTTTATTTAAACGTCAGGTAACTATTCACTGCCGTTGTGTTTTGAGTTAGTTTATTTAAACGTCAGGTAACTTTTCACTGCCGTTGTGTTTTAAGTTAGTTTATTTAAACGTCAGGTAACTTTTCACTGCCGTAATGCTTGTTGAAAGAACGAAGTCTCCATGTTCAATAAAACTTGATCTCATACAGTACTCTAAGAAGTATTTCTGAAATTTTCAAATTAACATTTTGCTCTTAATCGACCTATTTAATATTTCAATGTCAGATTAACTGATGTTTTTCTCATAATATTAGGTTTTTTCTTTTACAACCCGAGTAAATATTAAACTTTTCATTTTGGTTCATCAACCAGCTTGTCTAGTGTGTTTGAAGTTATGCACAAAGCTACACAATGGGCTATCTGTGCTCTGCCCACCACGGGTATCGAAACCCGGTTTCTAGCGTTGTAAGTCCGCAGATATACCGCCGTACCACTGGGAGTGGGGAGGGGGCAACTTTTCTAGATTCAAAAAAGAAAAACCAAACAGAGAACTTTAGAATCTCAAAATTCGATGTAAAAAACACGCAAAATATTCAAAATGAATCAAAGTTACGTTGCTTATTTCGTTATATATTTCTTTTGGAAAGACATCTATTTCATAAAGTTTTACATTGGAGTGTAATTCTGTAATTCTTTTTTTTATTATTATTGAAAAGAAATGAAGTATTATAAGTTTGTACACTTCCTATGTTGTTTCCAGAATATTCTGTGCCGTTTATAGTTTCGCCATGATAAGACATGAGAGTTTGATATTTTTAGGAAGGGAAAGGGGGTATTTTTTTTTGGGGGGGGGGGGCTGAATGCGGTATTTTAGACATCGCCTGTCACTTGGTGAAATAACTCGGCAGACGTAGGCCAGGATATAAAGCCGCATTTTCCCACTACTTAACACCGGATAATTTTGTACTTATGTGTGTAATTTTACATAAGTTGCGAGAAAAGCTGCGGACAATGAACAATAAAGTGAAACGTAAGATGCTTCTCGGTTGATAATTTGATTTTATAGGCAATGTGTACCTGACACACGCGCTCCATTTGATAAAGTGTGCATATCAAGCAAGCGGGTTAATGATTCATTAGCCTGAAAACGAAGGTTCATCACAAAACAAAATACGAACTGAACAATAAACAACGTCTATACTGAAGTGTCGGAATAGGCACCAGGGGGTCGGTCCCCCCGGAAAATGTCGCCCATTATGTCTTTCAGCATCTGTATTGAAAAGTGTCAGAATAGGCACCAGTGGGGGTCTGTCCCCCCGAAAAAATGTCGTTCATTATATGTCTTTCAGCATCTATATTGAAAAGTGTCGGAATAGGCACCAACGGGAGTCGGGTCCCCAGGAAATGTCATTCATTATACGTCTCATTGCCCCCATCCCTCAGGTTTTAACTAGCTGAGCCAATACTGGGAATAAGAATTCCAACATCAGTGATATTGTTTGGTAAACAATCGGACATCGTTTTTTTTTTTTTTTGAAATTATCCAATCCATATCGTAGTCGAAGTATATCGTTAATCAGTGACGTAACTACCCGGGTGGAGGTGGGGTGTTACACCAATATTAGACAGCTCGAGATAGTTTCGCCAGAGAGAACAACAGTCTGTTAGGCAACCTGCCCGACGAATTTGATATACCCAATATAATACCTAGAATTAAAAACTTCAGTATATAAAATATCCATCGCACTGATAACTATTTTAGCACTATCTTGTTAAGTCAATGATAACACGAGAGAATAATCTATTTATTACATCAAAGGAAACATGGGATTGTTCTCTCTTCTCGGGAAAATTGCCAAATCGTATCAGACAAACAAAATAATACAAATTTAGAGTAAAAGTCATTTTAAACTTCACTGTGTTGGTTATCAATTTCACATTTCCAATAACCCACGCGCAGTAACTGCAAATATGAGAGAAGCCAGATTGGATGGACATCGTCCCCTCCCCAAGTAGCTTACGTCTTTGTTACGTCGCCCCATCTTCGTAATCGATTCAATGGTCTAAAAACAAAAATTTTATCAGAAGAGTAAAGATGATGGAATCCTTGTTATTTCGAAACAACGTTTAGTAAAAAACAAAAAAAATTGTGACCCTACGTTCGCATTTTGTTCTTGCAGGCAAGATATCTTCATAACTATTTGTCTGTCATATTACACATAACTGGTCAATACGTTTACGGTAATTCTTAACGTTGAATTTATGTAACTGGTGGAGAATATTTTCCTACGTGCACCGAGGGTGTTCTGTGTTTTTTTTTATTTTTCACCAAACAAGTTTTCATTCAAACTTATCTTGCAAGTTATTGGGGAACTTCGAAACTTTGGACACATATACCAAAAATAAATCCCACTTGTATACTTAACTATTACACTTCAAACTGTTGGAGTAAGTAGTGTTTTATTTCTTGCCACCTACTATGAATCGTGATATTATGGGATGTGGAGATTTTGGGGAATAGAAATAATGTAAAACATCGATTTTCCACAGTTGCCAATATGATAGATCTTAACACGGTAAACGAAAAAACTACGCAGTGGGCTATCTGCGCTGTGCCCATCACAGGTATCGAAACCCGGTTTGTAACCTTATGAGCCACTCGAGGGCTGATCTTATGGGGCAAGTTATGATAACAGTGCAAAAGACGCAAGGTACGAAAACGTAGTCAGTTACAGCTTGCTCCTGAATATCGATTGTTAACACGCACGTGAGGAAAGACTATGGAACTGTACGCGTAGAAGGTGTATTATTGAGGCTTCGGGCAGCGTCTGTATCATCTCACACGTAAAGATTTGAATAGTGCTTCACGTGGGTACAAGAGATTTTCACGTAAATTTTCCTCAAGGATTATTATTCTATTTGAAATCATGCTCTGTATGAAACGCACGTATCATTTTAAAGTTCAAAGTAACGTTTTTCAAAAGTATCTCACGTTGGTTATATTTCTTTACGTCGACACATTGTCGTTAAACAAGGGAAATGCACGTGACCTTCACGTGTGGAGGTTTCGTTGTTCTCAAAATTCTAGGTTTGTAAGGCTAAATAAGTATATTTGCATAGGATCGTTGGTTGTTTTTTTTTTCCCCCTTCACACGTTGTCATGACAACCGCGTATCAAGGTCGAAAAGCGCGGTTGATCACGTTTTTTGTCTCGTGCATGCAAGCAGCCTTGTCGCCAGGCGAAGATCGATAATTTCCAGGCTTCTGATACGAACTCCAGCTCCACAGCGACTGATACAATACCATTTTGTCGGCTGTGACAGTGTTGCCAGAAATAGAATGGTTACGAGAACACCTTTCTGTTAGACTAACAACTGCTTATATATATTTTAGAATAAAGCATACGCGGAGAAAACAAAATAAAAACCCACTAATGAAAGAAATATAAAGAAAAAAAAACATTAATTACGTGCTGTTTAAATGGCTTTGATACGTGGAAGATAATTACGATGGAATTTCTGAACTAAATAAATTACACAACAATGTCTTCTTTATAATATTATCATTTTATATTTCGCAACCCCTGACGGTTAAAATTGGTACTAAAACACATGGGAAAAAATGTCCGGTTTGTTTCAGCCTTGATTGTTTGTTTGTTTTCGAATTTCGCGCAAAGCTACACGAGGGCTATCTGCGCTAGCCGTCCCTAATTTAGCAGTGTAAGACTAGAGGGAAGGCAGCTAGTCATCACCACCCACCGCCAACTCTTTTACCAACGAATGGTGGGATTGATCGTCACTTTTATAACGCCCCAACGGCTGAAAGGGCGAGCATGTTTGGTGTGACGGGATTCGAACACGTGACCCTCAGATTGGGAATCGAGCGTCCTAACCACCTGGCCATGCCGGGGCCCTAATCACCTGGCCATGCCGGGCCTTCAGCCTTGAAGACAGAAAAATAAATCGTAAAATATAGCTAGACAATTTCATAAGCACGTGCTGACAACCCATAGTACCGGAAATGGTTTGGTGTTCAGATTATTTGTATATATTAAATAACAACTATATGTACTTAATCGTTTGGTATATTTAATTCTTCTTTTATTTGTAACGATATATTTATAGTAATAATTTTAAGCCTAACGATTTAAATACGTTTAGCATGTCAAAGAAATATTCAGTTCACTTCATCATATTGTTACGACAGCGGAGGTCACGTGACTCTAGTAACACGCCACGGCCAAGAAGCGACGGGAACAATGTGTAATTGAACTGCGGACAGAGTATTGTTGAGTTGAGCACGTGAGACGTTCGTTGTGAATTATAGCTTATATCGTTTGTTATAGCGCGACTGTGGAAATTAAGTGTATCGCAAAGTTGTATTCAGAAAGAATAAACCAGTTTTATTTTAGAAAGGACTTGTGTCGCTAAAGTTTCGTCGGAACGAAACTTACGGAAAATTAACTAACGAACGGAGACGTAACAATATACTATCTAAGGCAACGGTGTTCAACACGGTCGCCACAAGTGGTGAAACGGCCATTGACCTGTGGCGACTTGGTGCTTTACTTCTACCACGTATTTTTTAAATATAATTTTTAATTAAATTCATTTAACACGTACCAGTTAAAAAAAAAGTTTCCACTTTTTTATTTTGAGGATAAAATACTAGAGAAACATTATAACAATATTCTATCAACAAATAACTGAAAACATTATTGTGTATTTTTGTACCCCTCAATATCTATAAAAACACAGTTAAATTCTTTTGTCATGTGGCGAAAATGTTAACATATTCTCCAGAATTTTGACGATTACGAACGAACTGTTGGACACCGCCGATCAAAGGGATAAAAAAAACGGAGTATCACGTGGTTAGTTCTATATTTCGTACAGTGCAGTATTGTATATTAATTACTGTAGTACAGTTGCTGGAGTTGTATTTCCAATGGTTACCCTGGTTTCTTGACGAATTTATTCTGACAAATTACATTTTAACTGAATATAAAAAAAATCGTGGTGTATATTAACAAATCTAAACATTTGATTCAGATAACATTAATTTTTGTCTTATTAAATATTTATGCTTATTTTTTACATTGCTGGTCTCACTATACTGATTATTTTTTCCTCCAGATCAGATCATGTTTATCCTTCTCTGACTCTCGTTTCTCCAAATCAGCAAGGTTTTTCTCCTCTGACTTTTCTTTCTCGAAATCAGGTCACGTTTCCCGAGTATTTCTGGTGTCTTCCATAACGTTGTCGAGCTACGTAATTCTCTTGATCTCCTGAGTATATAAAAATTTAATCATATCAGTTATACGCCGAATTCTTACTTCCTTATTTGTAAACAAACAAAGAAAACAAAGTGAGCTAAATTAAAAAAATCAAGATCTAATTATAACTACATACACACTTCTAAGCTTGACTATCATGAACTCCAGAATTAGGCGGTTTTAAATTATTTCAATTCGTTATAGTTTTAGAAATAGGGTGAATGTATTCTAAGGACTATTAATGAGTATTCTTTGGATTGATAATTAGCGGTTGATACAGTTCCCACTCAAATCTCCCCCGAAAGTGCACGCTATAAAATGTTACATCACGTACTTCTGATGTCACCAATTTGAAAAACACAACGACTGTCAACAAGGGTTAGATTATGATAGCTATGTGTATGAACTAAACACAACGATTGTCGACAAGGGTTAGGTTATATATTAGTGTGTATGAATTAAACACAACGATTGTCAACAAGGGTTAGGTTATGATATTAGTGTGTATGAACTAAACAAAACGATTGTCAACAAGGGTTAGGTTACGATATTAGTGTGTATGAACTAAACAAAACGATTGTCAACAAGGGTTAGGTTATGATATCTGTGTGTATGAACTAAACACAACGATTGTCAACAAGGGTTAGGTTACGATATCTGTGTGTATGAACTAAACACAACGATTGTCAACAAGGGTTAGGTTACGATATCTGTGTGTATGAACTAAACACAACGATTGTCAACAAGGGTTAGGTTACGATATTAGTGTGTATGAACTGAACAAAACGACTGTCAACAAGGGTTAGGTTATGATATTAGTGTGTATGAACTAAACAAAACGATTGGCAACAAGGGTTAGGTTATGATATTAGTGTGTATGAATTAAACACAACGATTGTCAACAAGGGTTAGGTTATGATATTAGTGTGTATGAACCAAACAAAACGATTGTCAACAAGGGTTAGGTTCGAATCGATGCTACACGACAAAATATTCCCAGCACTTCAGGCTGTGGATGCGTTATAAAAGTGATAGCCTCTCCCTTAGTACAGGTTGGAGAGTACTGTTGACTGGCTACCTTCCCTCTTGTCAATAGTTCAAGATTAAAGGCAGCTGCAGATAGTCTAGGCAGCTTTGCCACGGATACAACATGCAGATAGAAGTGTGTGTAGCAAAAGGCGTAATTCGAATTATCATGAAGCAATCTGTAGGCCTAACGCTCGTTTTAATTAGCATCTCATTAATTGGCATGGCCATTTGTAAACCTCTCGAAACAATTCGCCCATTTCAGAGCTAGAACTCTCTACAGAATATGCGTTATGTAATTTTAAGTATATTTTATATATGATACGTCATTATTCAAAATATAATTATGATACTTCGTACGTTGATTTATCAGATGGGAATGTTCATTTGTCCGAATGTTAAATTTCACTTACCTATCTGAAGAGCCATAGAATACCCCCCCCCCCTTCTCCACGATGGCTCAGATGTAAGTCCAAGGGCTCATAACGATAATATTTAGATTTCGTTCCCCACAATGGGCATAGCTCAGCTTGCCTACAGCATAGTTTTGGGCTTAACAACAAATAAATAAGCGACACAAAAGACTACAAGTTGACAAAATTATACAATATTCTACCAAGTACTATCGATATTAAGAAAAAAAATAGTACGTGAAACGCTCAACTACTCAGCGTAACTTTTACGCACGTTGTTTCCAGTCTGTAGACTCGTGTACTTACGAACGTTGGCCGTCGAACTACGACCAGCCTATTAGTCACTAGTGGTAAACAACCAAGCTAAGTACGATTATCGTTATATACTAGTTTCGGAATGAGGACAAGAAAACTTACAGTCAACCAACTGAACATTTTTTTGCTTGATAATCATAAAGTCTAACTTAATCCGCATGTTTCATACGTACAATCCCCATTTCATTTAGTGAGTTTATCACAACAAATCTGTGTAACTTGGTTTCTAAACCATAGCTTTACTTTATGTATACTTAAACGTGGCCTAGGTTTAGGTTATATATATATACATTTTTTTACAGATTCAAATGTATTTTTTGCCCATTTGACGGTCCCTAAAATTTTGATTTGTTTGTTAGTCACTCAGCCAATAAAATGTTTTTCTGTATGTGTAACAAATAATAAAAAAAGAAGTGAAGAATGAAGTTCAACTTATTTGGGAGCGGTTGCCTCCAGGGCTCGCGTCAGGCGTGCAGCTGCTACACAGCAGGGGTTACCTTCTATATGTCTGTTCTGCACAAACGAGAAAATCTCGGATAGGAATAAATCTTGTAAGACTAAATTTTTCTACACAGACTATCGTTATGGTTTAACTATAACTTGACGTATTTTTCGATAGTTTAAATATAATAAAAGGCTTCGTCACAAAGCATTTTTAAAGCTTTATAGAACAAAACAAAAGAACATTAATGTAGAAGAAAAACAGTAGAGGAAATATCACAAAATCCAATCAATATATCGAACAATGACGTTTACCAGGATAAGGCTCTCTTCATAAATAATCATTTACTTTTTTTGAAAGCTGCAAAGAAGATCCGGGTTAAAATCTTAAATATGATTTCATAAAAAAACTTGTATTATTAATGATACTAGTTAATTAAAAAAAATAAAGTTATAAATTTATTTGAAAATGTTAATGAACATTTATTTCCTAAATGATTTCGGTGTTTAATAAAATCATGAACTTAATTTACTCTTGATCAACTGGTGAAACAAACTTAGGGAAAATTAATTTTATTGTTTCAAAAAAAAATCTTAACAAGAATTCTGAAGAAAACCAGAATTCACGATTATGCTATTCTGTTAATTACATTGTTACTTGAAAGCCCTCAACAACAAAAGTTCTGATTAACACAAAAACGGTATATAACTACAAGAACTAAATACCTGAGTGGGGAAACATATGCTAATATAATAAGTTGACAAACAACGATTTCTAAGTATAATAGTGTTTTATTTTGGGGAGGACACATTAGACGTTTCGACAAAACATATTATGTTTGTAAATTTTCGTTTGCCAACTTATTACCGTAAAAATGAAAACTTCTAATTCTATCTACAGTGAAGCTTCACAAATGAACTTTGAATAACTTAAACACAACTATGTAAAGACAACATTAAAATAGCAGGGGCTCACTGACAAAAAGGGGCACTTTTCAAGCATTGTAAGGCAAATCTTTTCTTTGGGGGGTGAACTGTTAGAGGGGACTATGAGTTGCCTCTGGTATAGATAAGGTACAAAAACTATAAGAAGAAAACAGATTATTATTTATTCCTATTCAATTGTCCTTATAAACACTTTTAAAATCGAAAACAGTGAATTATTGCGTATATTCACATTTAGTAGCATAACATAGTTGTTCTTTTTTAATGTGATGACCTACAAGTCCCTGTGTTCCATTGATTTTAAAGATGAAATATTTTTCCTACCCAATAACTTGCAGCATGGAAAGTAAAACCAGGCGTATCTTTTAGTGGTTGTTGAAAAGATTTTTATGAATGAGCAAAAGGGCAGGAGCTTGAGCCCCCCTCCCACGTGTGCGTCACTGCTTAATAAAATGTGTTAGTTTCTAAATTATAATTAATGACTCTTCTTATTTCTAACTAATCAAAGCATCTGTAAGATTGTTTATGTGTGTTATTATTCAACATTAAATTATTACACAAAGCATCTTACCAACGAGATTTCAACTAACAGCTGCTATAACCAGTTTACTCAAACAAAGCCCATGTGAACGCTCAAGGCCATAAGCCTTAGAGAAAGTGAATCACCTTGAAACAGGCGTCGTTTTTAGGCAGGCCTTGACCAAGAACGCCGTCTAGCGCTCAAGCAGTTTTTAATAATGTGTACTAACATGTTTCTGAGACTCGGGTCGTGACCGTCTTTGTTTAGAATTCAAACTACGTACAATCAGAAGTGACCTACGGGCTGAGCTGTTAGCGACACCACCAACACAGTTTGTTTTCTCAAGGCTAGAACGTAGTACATAATGATGCTCTGAACGTAAAGTTTAAGACCGAGGATACCGCAAACAATGTAAGATATACGCAACCGGATGTGTGTACATGTGTTTCGATAAATGAAAGGAAATACATCAAAACAAAGTACACTGAAAACATTTTTTCTTGTATTGCTCCATCTACTTCTGAACAATTTTGCGAGTGCGCAGGAAAAACATGTTAATAACCTTATCAGCTTGAAAAGTATATGACGTCATCCCTACTGATTCTGTAAGTTATTTTAAACTAGCGTATAGCCCGTCAAAAATGACGGGACAAGTACTACCACCCCACCCCATAGTATACCCTAACTTTACATTTCATATACAAACGAAATAAATAAATTTTGCGAAATAAAGCTTGACCTACAAAAGGCAGTCAAACGTTGGTAAATTCCTTTGTGAGCCAATCAAAATTAAGATCATTT